GAGGAGGAGGGAGCCGTACGATAACTGCAATCGTGAGCTGACAGCGTCCAGGGAATGAGGGTGCGCTAAGTCCGTAGACTTGCATCGTTTTCCAGCGTAAATAAAATGGTTATGTAATGGCTTCCTAAAGAAACCATCGATATGGGACCAGGTTTGTTCCACTGTATGAATTTTTTGCGAATTTTCCACCAAGTTTGATGAAAAACGATTGTGCCGTTTCGGCTTCCCAGAGCAGTCACACACACACACACACACACACACACACACACACACACACACACACACACACACACGACTAGTCCTGTAGTATATTTGATATCAAAGTACTGGAGTCAGTGCAGCGAAGAATGACGAAAATGATTCCGGGACTTAGAAACCTTCCATATCAAGATAGGTTAAAGAAACTAAACTTATATTCCTTAGAAAGACGAAGAGTGCGAGGAGATATGATAGAAGTATTTAAGTGGGCGAAAGGAATCAATAAAGGAGATATATATAAAGTTCTTATACTATCTGAGCATAATAAGACTGGAAGCAACGGATTTAAGTTGGATAAGTTTAGGTTTAGGAGGGAGATAGAAAGGAACTGTTTCACAAATAGGGTGGTGGACGAGTGGAACAAGCTTAGCAACTTTGTAGTAAGTGCTGGAATGATGGAAAGTTATAAAAGCAGGCTGGATAGATTTATGGATGATAGAGACTGGTAGTAACTCTCGACAGGAGCTGCCATGCACAGGCCAACACTCAGGCCCAACAGGCCTATTGCACACAACTTATTTTCTTATGTGCTTAGGTTTTGTTCTTAAGTCCTGGTGTGAGGTCGACGACCCAAATGGCTGATCTTACACTCTGGATGTCGGAGCGCTTTTAAAGCATTGTTTTGGTGCTATGCGTGTAATACAACTTGGGGTTTACAGATATGATGGAGAAAGCACACATGACTCATTAACCCAGAAGTAAGTAATAAGAATAAGCAGGTGAACCGCTCCCTGACGAGTCATGAATGGTTTCTCCGTTCTTACATAATTTTGTGTCTTATGTATGTGCATGCTGATTAGGCTCTGATGATATCAGGTCATTATGAATAATCCATGTTCTTGTGCAGGTTATTAGTTGCCATCTTTGGTCTTGGTGCAGTATATTTAATTAAGAATGTGGAAAATCTCATGCAGCTCCAACTTATAATTTTTCTAGAGATTAATACTATTTTGTGGGTTTTCCAGACCACTATGCTATTTTGTGACTGTGTGTGCTGAGGGACTACTGAGGTAAGGATCCGTCGGGTTGTGTTTAATGGGAGTGTCAGTTAGCTTAAACTCAGGGAAGAGCGACCCTTGACCTCGGCAACTCCTGAGCTGGTGAGCTCACATTGCGACCAGTTTCATATTTTTCTATGCTGTTAATAATGGTGAATAGCGATGTAAGATGTGTTGAAGGATCAATCCAAATGAATTGTTGTCTTGTGCAATTGATATTTTTTTTTAATACGGTAAGCACTAGCGTAGCTAGGGGCGGTCCGCCCCGGGCGGCACTTTTGGGGGGCGGCACTTTTGGGTCTGCTCATCACCCATATCTGCAGCTACTGGAGACGTTAATCCATCCCTTTGTATCGGCGGCAAGTTAATCCTTGTCGTGTCTGACCTAACACCTGACCCACATCATCACGGCCACGTCATGAGCTACACCCTTGCTATGCGCCCCCCGCCCACACACAACCTGTAACCTGTTGAGGATTAAGGAAACAACTTCAAACAAGTACGCCAGTGAACTCATGTGGTGTGGGTCAGGTGTTAGGTCAGACACGACGAGGATTAACTTGCCGCCGATACAAAGGGAAGGATTAACGTCTCCAGTAGCTGCAAAACCATGCAGTCTCGGGTCATATCAGTTCATGTACAGCCGACCAATCCACCAGTTACAAGCAAATCACTTCATTTCTGCACAAGTCTCCATCGTGACAAGACGAGGGGAGGCTAGACGACTTTTAAGTTCTCTTGTGTTTTCGATCCAGTTATTTACTTCGTTGGAAGACATAATACTATAAGGTAAGAAATATTAAAGTATTGGTTAAAAAATATTGATGTGACTTTTGCTGCGGTACTGAGATTAAATATTAAGATTTTGTTTCACAGCATTGCGATTTTATACTAAGACACTATCCTCACTGGGGTACAGACAAAAGCCCCCCCGACAAAAGCCCCCCAGACAAAAGCCCCCCAGACGAAAGCCACCCAGACAAAAGCCCCCTACTTTGATCGGGGTGGCTTTTGTCTGACAACAGTAAGGGCTTTCAAAAGTTACGGACATATTTAAATAGTTGAGGGTAAAATATACTGTTCTTCTCTGTGGTTAATTATTGGTTAGGTTAGGGTTAGGTTAAGTTAGGTTAGGTTAGGTTAGGTTAGGTTAGGGTTGTCAGACAAAAGCCACCCCGATCAAAGTAGGGGTGTACTCCCCTTCCAAGGAAGCTCTTTACTGCTTTTGTTGCAAACTGTTTTCAGACAGAAGTAACTCAAAATTTAATTCTGAGGATGGATTCAACATATGGTGGAAACTGAATCCTAGAATATCCGAGCACGAATCCAGTGCAGCTCACGTTCGGAATTTCACACAATGGAAGGAGTTGGAAATTAGGATTGCTCGTGGAGCAACAATTGATAAAAAAGAACAAGAAGTTGTTGAAAGCCAAGTGAAAAAGTGGAAGGAAATCCTTTCAAGAAAAGTTACTTTGTAGAAAGTTGTAGTTTTCATCTCAGAAATAAAGATGGTCCTAATTTTTTACACTTTTTACTTTTTTCCCTATCCTATATGTCGTTTTTGTTTTTTGTTTAACTGTTACTTATAAAGTTTAAGTATGTTTGGTGTGTATTTAAAGCATACTATATTTGAGTATGTGAAAGTACAGTAATATTATAATGGTACACAAACTATTTAATATATATATATATATATATATATATATATATATATATATATATATATATATATATATATATATATATATATATATATATATATATATATATATATATATATATATATATATATATATATATATATATATATATAAGAGTGAGTCACTGTGCAATATGTATTTTTTGTGGGGGAACGGGGACACACTCTAGCTACGCCACTGACGGTATTAATTTAGTTTGTGCTAATTAAGTATTCTGAGTTGCCCTTCCACTTCAACCATCCATTTAAATATACCTATTATGAATTCCGATTGGTTATATATAAATATATATATATATATATATATATATATATATATATATATATATATATATATATATATATATATATATATATATATATATATATATATATATATATATATATATGTATATATATAGATATATAATGTGTGTGTTTGGGCTGTGGTTTGATATCGAACTATCTCACTTGTGAACACTTGCCTGAACGAGTGTAGGGTAGTCACTGGTAACTTTGATGAAGCTGGGTGAGATATTAGATAATCTTACGGCGTGTCACCTTTGATACATTCGTGAATTGGTTGACAGTTGAAATCGTCACAGTCGCCCTGGGTTGCGCTTGTAATTATCTTTGCTTGTAAGTTACACAAGTGCACACAGGTTCTGTTATCTTCACTTGTTGTTCCTTGGTTTAATGTAAACACACGTGGTGATTTTCTAGTTATATTGGATAGTCTAGTCTTACTAGGTTGTTGTGGACAGACTGATGAGCATTAGCTATTAGCTTGTAATTAGCTGATATAATGAGAGAGGTACAGCCTGGGGAGCTAGGCTCACAACACGTCTCTTTGGTACTGTGTCTGGCTGTGAACTGGTGAACTAGCCGACCTCTCTGAGTCTGGTTGTTGAAGAGTAATTCATACGTCAACACAGATATAAAATCTAAACATGCCGACTCACACACGGAGGGCTGAGAAGTAGATTTATGAGTTGTAACCTGAGAATGTGTGAAACAACAAACTGTCCACCCTGGTAGGGGAGGACAAAACATTTGCTTAATGTAGCTGTATGCTCAATAGTCTGGGTGATAGAATGTATATCATGAATATATGTCCTTAGCCCATATTTATATAATATTAATCGATAGCGGCTAGTGTATATATATATATATATATATATATATATATATATATATATATATATATATATATATATATATATATATATATATATATATATATATATATATATTCAGGGGTGAGTACAGTCTGTACTCACCCATGAAGATGTGAATTACACGACAGCGCTTGGGAACTTCGTGTCATCTTGTTTTCTTGTGGTTATCAGCATATACTTGAATCACCTGCACCTATTGTGATTAATTGCATATATATATATATATATATATATATATATATATATATATATATATATATATATATATATATATATATATATATATATATATATATATATATATATATATATAACGAAGAGGAGAACCAGGGAAAACACAAACATCTTGACTAAGTTGGGTTTATTTAATCAATAACGTTTCGGAAAAATCATTTTCCATCGTCAGAGCCAAAAAAAAAATGATTTGAAAAATTTTTAAAAAATACAGGTGATATCCAATAAAAACATAACATTATACGAAAATATTCCTTCCATAAAATTTAAAGATAGAGCACTCCAATTTAAAACTGACAAAAATGACGAGAGAACTACGTACAAGCTAAAATCAGGAATAAAAATGTTAAATAAAAATATATACGGGGTATTACCTTAATTTAGGCGAGCCTTAGTGCAAAAAACAACAATTCACAGGAAGCCATATCACAAATGGATGGCTTTACTTTATACTGATGCAAGGCTTGTATTTGTGTTTTCCCTGCTTCTCCTCTTCGTTATGAAACAACGCCTTCCACGTAACAATTCCATTGCTGAAGTTTTTTATATATATATATATATATATATATATATATATATATATATATATATATATATATATATATATATATATATATCCGTCACGCCCAATTATCTATTATATTTTTCTTTAAGGCAAGCAGTTTGAAATGTCAGACTCACGCCTAATGGAACTTCAAAATTTGCTTCGCTGGATACTAGAGTCCACTGTAAGTGTGGCCATCCCGGACTTCTTCCCGTGGTTACTATACATCCTGCCTGGCGCCCTCAGTAGACGCGTCTTCAACCTCGACCGCCAGAAGACGACCTTACATAAATTCCAAAAATACTTCACTGTAAGTACTGTGTTGCTCACTGAAAAGAAGACCACTAATATAGGCCTGCACTTAACCCCTCCCCCTCACACACACACACACACAAAACAATTGCTTCTGCAACGCACAGCATTTTCTTTTTCTTTAATAATAACCACATTGTGGAAATTATGCTTATTATATTTAATAATTCAATAAACTCGTTCTGTTTGTTAAAGAAAATAATTTAACATAATTCTTCTTCACTCAGCTTATAATGGTTTATTGCTTGTTTTTTCTTCTTTTATTTTAGCTGCATTCCGTCATATCAATGAACTGAAGACCTGAAGCTACCTTCTCTTGTCCTGCCTGGCTCTTGTTTGTACACAAGCTGCTTGGGACACGATTCCTTTCACATTTATTGCAGCAGTGACATGCTCAGCCTTGGCTGTCACTATAAAGAGAATTATTCATGGATCAGTCCGATATATTTTGCCAAAGTTTAGCAATCGTCGACTTTCACCTGTTCACCATTCATGTCATTATGAGGGTGGGATTATGTGATCACAGCTAATGACCAGTTCTTAATTACCCTTTAGTCCTTTACTGTATATAGTGAAGCATCAGATCGTTTTATTTTAATTTCAATGTAATTAAATTTTTACTCATGCTTTTCATTCAGTTTTATGATGACAGGCATCTGAGTAATCCCCCCCCCTCCCCCAATAAAACCCAAAATACGAATTGCGGAAATTAGTTTGTATAATCCCACGTAATAATCATAAAATTTAAATAAAACCACGTAGAGGAGCCCTAAAGTACGTGTTAGGGTAGTGGTTTCGTGTGCATTTAACGTGAAATAGGCTTGTTGTCAGGGGTAAATCATGGATATCTTACAATAATTCGTATAATCCATGACTCAAGTGTATAAAAATATAAATAGTGGTAAAGGCTTACTACTATTATAAATAATTAGTCTGATGAAAGTGAGTGGCCATATTTTTTTTTTTTTTAGGTTAAGGTGGGGAATGGATGGAAGGCATGCTGGGAATAAAGGCACAGCCAGACATGAGGGATAGAGAAGTCACAACATATAGTCGTGGGGGGAAAGGTTGGAAAAGAAGTTTAGTGAGTTAAACAGAGGGGGACGACACCCCTTGTTTTACATATTACAGAGTTTGTTGGCTAACTAAGCTAAACCTAGGATTTACGATGAGGTTGCATAATGGTTACTTTAGTAGACAATGACTAGATTGATTTTACAATTACAAGTTTATTAAAATCTTATACTGTATTACGTTATGGACTCACTACATTGTGACTTGTTAAATGTGAATTTATATCATCTAATTTTTAATCTAAGGTGGATCACTGTGGCGGACATAGATGGGTCGCGGGTTGGGTTGTTGTAGTGCGGGCAGACTCCGGCGCCACAAGGCGTGGGGTCGCCCTCCGTTGATGTCTTCCCCGCGTAGGTGGTCTGGGCTGTGAGGGTCGTCCAGGAGCTTGTCCTAAACCTTCTTCCCTTGGTGATGGAACCTGAAGTTGAGGGCCTCTGTTTTATTTCTCAGATGGATGGTTCCACTGTCTCCTGGTAGGGTGGCGCTTGACCACTGGCTGATCTCAAACACTTGTTTTGGAAGCTCTGTAGTTGTTGTAGTCTAGTCTTCCCGAGTGTGACGAGGGGTATAGATGGGTACTCCAACACAGGCCTCACCAGCGCCTTGTACAGGTGAACTTGTATCTTCTCAGGCATCAGTTTAAAACTTTTTAATTTGGCTGCGGCGACTTTGCCTGTATTTAGTCTGACCTTTACGTGGGAAATGATGCCCGTCCGAGAGATGATGAGGCCGAGCAACCTGCCTTGTTTACAGTACTCAATCTCTTCGTCGTCGATCTCAATAGCGCCGGCTTGAATTTGGCTATAGGTATGACCTCGAATTTCGTTTTGTTTGTTTTTATTTTCCATTTATTTTCATACTCCGAGATCTCCTCTATTGCCCGAGCAGTGAGTCGCACCATGCTTGCTGTGGACCTTCCCGGGCAGGTGACGATATATGTTACATCGTCGGCATACATGACGTACTCGCTGCCGACGATTGGAGGTGGCAGGTCAGCAGTGTAGAGCGTGTAAAGGGTTGGTGAGCGACAAGAGCCCTGAGGCACGCTGCTCGAGAGTGACAATTCTTCTCCAAAATGTTCTTGCATCTTAATTTTGGCTTTGCGGTCCGTAATGAAGTTGCACAACAGGCGCGTCAGGTTTTCGGGTAGCCCCAGTTCTATGATCTTATACTGCAGCCTCGCGTGCCAAACTTTGTCAAACGCCTTTCTGATATCCCTCAGTACTATGTTGCACTGCAGGTGGCCAGTCATGGCATTGGCGATCTGCTCGTAGGCCTGAGCTATGGCGGTGGATGTGCTTCGGTACTGGCGGAAGCCGAACTGGCGGGGATTATGCACGTCTTCGTCCTCCAGATACAATCGCAATCACTTGTTTACTATTTTTACGAAGATTTTGGCAGGTACCTCTAGCAGCGATAGTGGTCGAAAGTATTCGACTTTGTTTGGAGGCTTCCCTGCTTTTGGTATGAGGCGAATAACGGCGATTTTGAACATCTTAGGGAAGTATCCAGAGGCGAGGTAGGCGTTGCATATATGAGCAAGCCTCTCTATCATGTTGTCGGGGAGTTGAGCCAGGATCTTCTTGTTAATGTGACTTTGCTAAGGTGATTTGTTTTTAAACACTTTTATGACGGCTGACACATGTGCAGGAACTATGCGCTCCGTCAGGTAGTTTCCGTTCACCAGTCTAGTGAAGTCAGTCCGTGGGAGCTGCTGGAGTCGGGACTGGTGGTCCTGCAACTGACCTAAAATGTCCTCCTCAAACTCCCTGTAGAAGCCCTCGTTCTCTTGTTCACTAATGGTAAAGATCTTCCGTAAATATCGCTGATGTAGTTGTTCTACCGTGCTAGAGGTGGAACTCATCAGTCGCTTGATCCCTTTCCAGAAGGCAGCAGAATCGCGGTAATTGTTGGCTGCCTCCCTCACCAAGGCGGCCCACTTTTGTTCATGTAGACGTTTGCTCTCGTGCTGGATGTCCGTCTGTAGCTCTCGGTACTGGTCGCTCAGCTCTTGCGTCTACCCGCGGATACTGGCTAGCTGTCTCACGTGATCTTACTGGACACTGAGCTGCCTCAGCTGGTGACTAGTGTGAGGATGGAGAATGGTCCTGTGAATGGTGGTCGGGATGCTGTTATCCATCTCCGTCTTCACATCTGTGTACCATTGTTCGACCGCGTCGTCGATGTCATTGGGGCTGGCTTCTTCCAGGTTTCTCCCCTGCTTGAGACTGAGATACTCCTTGAAGGAGTCCCAGTCTGCCCGTTTGAGGTTTGACCTGATGTTGGCGGGGATCATAATGGGATTGGATGAGAGCGTCACGACGACTGGCAGGTGATCGCTGGTACTGATGGGTCCGGCGGTAACGTGCCAGTTCAGGACGGCCTCGTTGTTAGAGAGGATTATGTCGGGTGTTGTGGCACTGGCACGTCTGATGTTGTCATACAGCACCACACCGACGTTGTTCTCATTCCCGTGTCCGAGTATGGCGTTGAGCGCATTTAAGTCCCCTATGATGTATGTTGATCTTCTGTGGCGTAGCAACTGGTTGAGGTCTTGTTCGGGTAAGTAAGGACGTCTGGGAGGTAGGTACATTGTGCATATGATAACAGGTCCCCTAGTTGTCTCCACCTGCACTCCCAGAACTGAATCCTTGAAGTCTGGCAACTCTCTGTGTTTCAGCGTGACCTGACGGCCACAGCGACACCATCGTTCAGCTCACCCGTCATGTTCCTCTGGTATACAGTGTAGCCAAAAATTTTCAGCTTACTTTCGTCCTTTATGTCAGTACTGTTTAACAGAATAATGTCTGGGTCTAATTGATTGTATAAGTTAGACAGTTCGTTACGTCTATTAAGGGACCACTATAGGACATTGTGTTGGACAATTTTCATCCTGCTAACGACTGCCATATCGGAGACTGTAGCTTTTGGCGTCGCTTGAAGTGTTTGCTCTGCTTCTGCCATTTCTAGGGGGACGGAACTTCTTAGCAGAACCTGCTTGTCAGTAAATGGCGGGCCCTCGAACTTCTCGTCACCCATATACAGGAAGGTGTTCAGGTCCTGGGCCTGCGTGTCGAAGTAATCTACTGACGCTGCAGCTCGAGGGTCTTGTTCGTCTGTGGAGTAAGTCGCTATCATCTGGTTGTAACCACTGACTGTTGTTGCAGTCCGATGGTCACTGTTTCACAGGGTTGAGACGAGTTGACAATTCACGTCATTTACTTTAAATCTAGTAAATTAGTTTTTTATGAATAAACTAATAATCGATTACCATTGTATTTTAACAATAATTAAGAAGTCACAATGACTTGAACAAGTATACACGAAACAAATAAGTAAATTAAGCATAACGTGTCAAGACGTTGGTTGAGACAAGTACTATACTGTACAGTAAATGTCTAACAAGAATCAAAATATTGTTGGTTTACCTCAACACTTCAACGAACAGCTCGTAGAAGCCTTCATACAACTTCCTTGGAGATTCATAAACCATTCTATTCCGGTCATAATATTGAATGAACCCCCAAAATTGCAACAAATTGTTTTAAGGTGGTTTTACATTAGTTTTGGGGGCATGCAACACCATAATAAAAGTCCGCCTAAACTGGCCAATGTTATTCACTGCAAAGAATTTTAGAAGATTATCAGGTCAATGATTTACCTCATAACGTCATGTGACGTCAGATGTAAACATTTTGACGTCAATACACAAAAATAGTCTCTGTTTTTTAAACCAAATACCAAATAAAATATACTACAGGTATAATAATAATAATAATAATAATAATAATAATAATAATAATAATAATAATAATAATAATAGTAATAATAATAATAATAATAATAATAATAATAATAATAATAATAATAATAATAATAATAATAATAAAGCATTATTCAGTAAACAATAAACAGGTTAATTCATTGTTTTACTACTTCAAATGGACAATAATGTTAATAACTTCAATGCCATGAAAATAATAATAATGATAATTACACATACATAATAATAGTACAGTACTTTTACAGATGATTTCAGCGACATAATATCTAGTATGGTATTAACTTTGAATATAATAGCACAAAATGCAGTATATAATAGGAACAATTTTCACAAGGACAATGATGTGACCATCATGCAGTAATTTTGACTACAGTAATATGAGATTTATAATAAAAAGATTATACTGTGATCTGTTAACTCCAGTCATAAGAAAGTAAATAATTGTTATCAGTAATAATATTACAAAGATCATTATAAATTATTGTGTAATATTGATGGTGGAAATAGCATTCATAATAGCAATAATGCAGTAAAGTACACTACTATATCACAAAGAAATAATACAAATTGGCAGTAATAGTACTAGTAGTAATATTATTAATGATAGGAATATCATAATAGAATTAATAGCAACAGTACAGTCAATATCAAAGTCAAAGTCACTAGTTTACTTGCAGCATTTAGTACACTGAAGGTACAGTATATGCAGTCATTGTGAATTAAAACCTACATCGTTAAAATAGTTACTTTGTTGCTTTTAATTATACTTTTAATTAATTGATATTGTATTGACATAAAAATTACCACAAAGACGACACGTTGTAAAATAAATCACTGTTTTTTTTTATGAATCGTACATGTCTTAGTTTAAGTGCCTCAACTACTTTGAAGGATTGAGGTTAACTCTGGCATTACAGGAGCGGTATATATGAGACTTTTAAACTTTATAAAAGAATATTACAAAACCTATAAATGAATCTAATTTTTGAAAAAAATTACTGCTTTAGTATCAGCGTTATTCAATTTTGTATTGCCACTTCTGACATTTCCTGAAATGCATTCAACCTTGATGACGCATACCAATTCATCCCCAATGTCTAACTAATCGTCATTATTATCTTCCACCAGTAATGAAGCATTGTCACATATTAGGTCTGTTTGACAAGGTCCATATTCCGCTGTGCAAAAGAGTCCGTAGTCGTAGCAACTACATCGTGAAGCACGACATTCTGTAGTGCAATTGCAATGTATTATTTTCAGAAGGATCTTTTTTCGTCATGATCGGTATCCAATGTTCCTCTTGAAGGTTCCATCCCCAGTTAGTTGGGTCCGTTCCCTGATTAGTGCCCACCCAGACCATCGTTTGATAATATGTTCTGAGAGAGTGGAATTCTGTAGCAGACTCAGTTGGTGCGAGTCGTTCTCTCAGCCTATTGTGTCTCAAGTGAATATGTTGTTTTGCCTCCGAACAGATGAATCATTGCACGACGTCCAACAGCCATTATGGTACTGCTGGCCTTTCTGAGTGAGCAGATTTCAGCACAGTTCTGAAGGGCGCAGTCATTCTTAACAAGTTTCTGATATAGTTTACTTCTTACCTATTCCATAGATACATGACGTGGTACCACAACCAGTCATTACATGCAAGAACAATACATGTAATGTAATTTTTGCGCCAATATTATCCTTTAGTGACAGATATCATAAACTTTGCTCTAAACGGAATTGAGTAGAAAATCAAGAGATCGGTGTCCTCCTCAATGATCTACGGCTGCATCACCTATTTCAACATCAGCATCACCAACTGCTTCATTGTCCATTTTCATGAGCTGATCAGCAATATCGTCGACCATACGCTGCTTATTACAATTCCGTGATAGAAATTGCTCTTTTTTCCCGAGAATTCCGACTCAGAAGTGAAGTTCACCATTGAACATAGATTTTGACCGCGCTTTTGCTATGTATTGTCCTTTACTGTAGAATGATATCAAGGAGATCATAGGAATGCTGTTTTGCTTGTGGAAATGTTCAGTGCATGTATCTGTGTTATAAATCCCCTTTGATTCTGCAGCCCTTTTTCTTTTAGCAACATTTCGCCATAACAACATTGTCCTGTGACGTCATCGATGTCAACAAAATGGCTTGAAATGAACAATACATTGAAAACAAGCAAGATTTATTATGCTTTTCTGACTGACAGATATCTTGAAAATTATTCAGATTTTAGACTTTCCCATCATCCGAGAGGTGCTGACTTTTAGTATATAATTCTCCTTGACTTGTGGTACTATAAACCAAAAACAAAAACAGTTTGCTACAGTTTGCGGGATTGGGGCTGTTTCTTCGTAGAATGACTCGACTATTCCTACGATAAGCTCAGTATCTGAGAGTACTGTTAGGAGAAGAGTGGAATTCGTGGGATAGGGTGGAGGAGGTAAGCCTCCATTTTACTTTTAACAAATTAGTGAATAATTCTGTGTGTGTAAACAATATGTACCCCACTGATAAAGTTTTAATGTTTTTAACAGCTGTACTTTTTTTTTCGTTAAGCAGGTAAACGCAAACAGAAGCTAGTTATTGAAACGAGTTTTTTTTTATTTATTCAAACCTTGATATTTTCTTGTGTAAATAATACTTTTAGTGAAAATAACCGTAACGTAAGCAAAAGTTTTCATCCTGAAGTTCATGTAGTGAAAGGAGTGTCTTGGTTACTATACCGCAGAAGGAGATCGAGGAGCACCGAGCCACTCTGGACCGTGATAACCCCCGGGACCTGATAGATGGTTACCTGATGATGATGGAGGAGAAGGCGGACGATCCGGACAATACTTTCAATGGTGAGTGTCCTCGGATCACCTCCTTGAAGACCTTCATATTCACATTCTTTCCATGACTCCCTCTCCACCTCCTTCGAGTTCAGGCTTACTTTTGCAGCACTTGCTAATGATATCTCTATTTTCTCAGCCCCAACCTCACCTTCATTACCAACAGGTTGCCTGTTGCCTGGGCCACACAGGTATCACTGGTATCACTATTGCAATATAATAATTATAATGCCTCTAATACTGTTCGGGATGTCCCACTAGTTACTTACATCTGAAGACTCCTTCAATACCTTTCATAAACCTATGGGCCAGTTCTTTTTAACACCAGTGCAGCATGGTCTAAAGATTTAACTGGTCTGTTCATCTATAGAAGAAAGTGAATCCACCAACGCCCATGAAGTCACCTGACTGGCGACTGCCTATCTGTCTTGGTATAACCAAGGTCGCACATGGCATCCATTATCTGGTGGGTTATTGTCCTGACAATGTCAACCTCCTGCCTTACATTTCTATTTATTTTCTCAGGAGCTATTGTTTCAATAGTGATAGTGAAACAATGCCTAAACACCGCGCTGTGTTTGGTTGTAATTCACGCAACAGACTGTAACGTGTTGTTGCATTTTATTGCAAGAAAAATCCCCAGTCAGTTATTTTCACCCTCTTAAGTGGACTACATTATAAATGGAACCACTGTGAAACGCTGGTCTGGGGCCAATTGCTGCTTGCGTGGACAGTGTCAGTTTCCCTTCCCATTAATTGCTACATTAATTCTCTAGACATCAAAAATTATGCTGAGCCAAGAATCTTACACACAGTTTTACATCAACTGCAGGATTTAGCTAGGGCAATAGCTGATCATATGAGCATGTATGTAAAGACATTCATTTGTTGATTGCAGCATTGCACAAGTTTGTTCATATGATCAGGTAAAGCCGATCTTTATGAGCCTAAATCTCGAGTCCAGTGTGTTGGGACTGGTAACATCATGGTTACAACAATTTTGCTAAGACTTTGATGTAAATGTAACAAAGGACCCTTTTATATATAACAGCGAGATTAGAAACAACTGGCTTCCCTGTTGTCTCTATTGCTTGATCTTCGCCCTACAAATGGGAGGTTCTGGAACAGCATTAATGTAGCACAGACAGTTTCTTCTTTAACCCTTTAGGTGGCTGGCATGCACTTAGGTGTTTTAATCTAACTAACGCCAAACGATTTTATTCAACTGGGAGAAACCCTTGCCCTCTGAAGGATTAAAAATCTAGCTGCATCTGACAGAGATATTCATGTTTTTGCAGAAGTTCCTCGTCTAATTAACCGATAATAAACAAATTCCTTGATTCGGATTTGGTTTGATCTGTTCAATTCTAGAGTTGCAAATGATGAAAAATCCTCCAGAGTTGCATCTAGAATTAAACTGCATGAGCAAAACCGAGTATCAGATACAATGATAAAGATCACAAAATCAATGCGGGGTTGTAGTAGCAAAAGGCTTTATCAATTTAAAAAAGAGCTCATTGTTTCTTCTTTACCAAAGTTATATGAAATGATAAAGGAGAAATACAATTTCTTACATAACAACATACAGGCTAAACCAAGACGGGTTGGAGCACTTTTTCCCCTGTCTCCAACAAATGGCTGCTTGTTACGATCATCCATCACCAGTTGCCCTAATGTGCAGAGTTCGAACACGTCTTCTTGGTAAGGAAAGTGCCGTTTTAGGAAATAATTGTAAATAGGAAAGATGTAATAATTTAAGTATGTCAGCAGGGTCATTTACTACGGTGTGAATGACACACAGGAAAAAAATTCCACAAAGAAAGCTTCCCCCCTCTGCCTTGTTGTTTGCCCCTCTAGATTCTGAGGAATCCTTACCTGAGGCTGAAGAAAATAGAGAGTCAATAGATATTGAAGAACTTACCCTTCAGGATATAGTGCATTTAAAGGGTCTAAGGTACTCAGGTGGGTATATAAACTACAAATTTCCTCAATATCAGTTCCATGAACCTAATGTACCGCTTGAAGACAATAACTGGATTGGTAAAGCAGGACAATATCAGGAAAAGTTGATGACACCTAGGCGTGACTTTTTCGAATAATTAAAGATGATGGAAATTTTTTTGAAATAAAATATCACCACGATGAACATGAGCTAAAGCCTGGAAAAGGAGTTACTCATGTGTTAGCGACAGGTAGTGTTAAATGTGTACCTCTGCCAAAAGGATGATATCACATTCCTTGATCGTTGTGGCAAGCTCTTTTAGGATGCGTGTTTTAAATCGAAAATTATTTCAGCAAACGAGCACAATCACAAAATGTCAAATCTTGAGAGATAGATGTGAAATAGATAAAAGCTTGCAGGCACATTTTAGGCTTCGTTTCTCTTTTAAATTATTTTCGGCGTAAATGCCTTCATTACATGTTATATTGTTATGCTTATGTTATATAAAGGACCCCTATAATTTATTAATTTCCTTTATATAATGATTACGTTTTTCAGTAGTCTCAGAAATAATTACAAACCATATACAACATAATGGGAATATTTAACTGTACAAAATTTTTATCAATCCACTATATTATAGTCCGTTTCTTTATGCCTTTTACTTATTGTGATTTGCTAAACTATACTTTTTTTGGATCGTTAGGATGTAGGGATGAGGAAAATCAATCTTTTTATTTTCAGGCTTTATGGAAGCCATCTTGGAATTTCAAAATGACTTTTAAATAAAAAAAATTCCGATATCTCTGTTTCTAAACCACGCAGATTGTTACCTTTGGTGGCAAAGCATACATTTTAAGCAATCAGGAATCCACTGAGATTAAGGAAAATGAATTAGGGATAAATTAAATTAAGCTAGTTAACCCTTTGAACCTTGCAAGCCATAATAGTGGGTTGAACACTTTGACCCACATCTAAAACTTTGGATCTTGGAAATGTGTTTAGTCCATTTCCTTCACTTGAATAATAACCTTACATGTTTCTGTTACTTTTTTAAACTAATTTGGAGGATTTTAAACAACATTTTTTACTTCACCTTTACTTTTTTCAGCTGGGAGACCAGGGTATGGGAACTGCTATTTGCTGCCAGTATTGCAAACAAATATAATAAAATTGTATTTATTCTTGTGATCAGCATCTTGGAACCTCAGTTAAACATTGTACATGTAACTTTAACAGGAACAATGGGCACACTTTGAGTGTCATCGTAATTATTACCTCAGTCATCATCTTCACCGTCACTGTCGTCCGAATCCCGATTTTCGGAATGCGAATTTTAATCATTCTCACATACAGAGGTCCGTGCACTGTAAGTTCTTTGCCCTGCAGGAACATCTTTGCGGGGAACGTTCTCCCTTGCACTGACATCTCGCCATCTTGATAATGGCCATGGGTGCAGGGAGAACATCAGTGGTAGTCGGCCTTCGCTGGCCATCGTTGTCCTTATAGCATATGTGTCATCGCAACTCTGGAATGTTTATGATTTGGATTCCTTTTGGGCTGCACACGCAAAACTAGCCAAGCTTATCTGCTGCTCATCTGTTACTTTGAAGTCATAAAAAAGTATCCCCAAGGTTTAAATGATATCATCCTCATCTTAATGAAGATATTGAGTCTCGTAGCCTTACCCACTTTTGAAAACCTTCCAATGTTATCAGCACTAGTGAAAGCATGGAATGCAGGTAAGGCTTTCACCTTTTCTGAACATAGAACATCCCAAAACGGTTGGATCTGCAGATGAGCTTCGCAGTGTCGCTGCATGTCCTTTGAAAAAATTTTTTTGTATATCCTAACCTTTCCAAAAATGTATAATTTACCCAATTTCCAAACAATTATAATAGAAGCTTCCAATCAGAACAACAAAGAAATGAGCATTTTAGTTGGGTCATACCCATCTCTCCTTTACAAACCAAAGCCGATTGGTGGGATGAGAGACCACAATGGTCTTATTGTCCATGTCTGCCCCAACAAACTTGACCTATACCATGTTGAGTGGTGGGAATATTTATGATCAACGCCTTTACCTTGCTTAAATTTTCTACTTATTTGATAATATCTGTCGTGGATTGTTTTGTTACAGACCCGTCCAGTCTCTTAGCATTTACCATGGAGGAGATACGGGATTGACTGTGGCCATTCCCAGGTAATGACTCGAGGACCAACTTCCTTGCGTGGTTATGTTGTATCAAAATGCGTCAGAAAATGCAAAGAGCAGTTCTATGGAGACTTGCGAATATACTTAACAATAACAATCAGCTATAATAAAATCAGAAGCAGTTTCATTATTGTCTGTGTGTTTGGAAGAGCGACACCGACTCAACACAAGAGTTTCATTTCTGGTGTCTGATACATGAATAGCTGTTCCATGGATTAGCTTGACTGCTGAATGAACTATTTTCCTAGTTTAATAAAAGGTATAAACTCACAAAAATCATCATGGAAATGTTCGTATACTGTACTTTTGATTCTTATTTGAGTATGGAGTGAGTGATATAGGGTGTAAGGGACTGGGACTTTGGGATATAAATCCCTTGCCAGCCTAGTCTGGATCTTGCAAGAGAAAAGTCAAGAACCATGGTTTCCCGAGAGATAACAGACAACGGTTAGAGATTGGCATCTCTTTACTACGAAAATCAACATAAAAATTGACACAACTCACACAAATATCAAATATACAATTACGAGAGTCAAACAATGTACAGATATTTCCTATGGCGGTGGCCCGGTGGAATGTTCCATAAAGCGGTGACCTGCTCTCAGGGGGAAGGTCATGGCAGCTTCCTCACTTAGCGCCGGCGTTGGTGGGCGATGTCTTGCCACACAGGAGAGACGCCAGGGCACGGACAGTGGATAGGGCGCGAGGAAGTGGCGATGACGTGGCTGTCGTGGTAGTAGCTGGGGTAGGTGTCCGGAGATTGACAGCCGAATAGAAGGTCTGGGGAATCAGCCCAGGAGCTTCAGGTGAGTACACAACCAGCGTTTGAACGAACAGCTGGGGAAATGCAGCTGTGGTGCTGGATGGGTAGTGTCTGATGTGTGAAGAAGCAGCAGCGACCTTCTCACCTCCGTCTACCCCCCCTAGTGGGGGACGCAAACAAGCAAGCGAGCGGCTGCCAACCATCCTGCTCGTTACCGCCCTTTCATGGGATGGGTGAATTGTTGAAGACAACACATTGCAGTTTCTTGAGTTTGTTGTCGATTCTTTCTCTCTTGTAAATAAAATCTTCTGCCTTTCCCTCGTGTCTGGTTCGATAGCGTTAAAACTTATTGTGCAGTACTTTATTCCTGTCCCTCCAGCACTGTTTACTGTAGACTACATCCGATATTCAGGGAGTCAGTAAGTTAAAATCAGCTTCTTTCTGTCAAAGTGAGAAAGGTCTAGAAATGTCAGAAAATTGCTTTCTTCTTGCAGCTTCTTCATATTTTGGCCACTTTAGACCAAAGATAATTGAAAGAGGCACACTATAACTTACTCGTTATTGTTCTGTATTGTTTCTTGTAATTTTTTTCCAAATATTTAAGCTCATCTCACATCTTTGTAAAGTCATAAGGATTCTCAAGTGTCCTTTTCTTCCAAAACTTTAGCGAAGGATTTGGCGATCTTAGTCCTCGATCTGTTCTTCGCTGGGAGTGAGACTACGACCATCACCCTCACCTGGATGTTCTACTACCTGGCCACCTACCCGGAGGTACAGCAGAAGATGCAGGCAGAGATAGATGAGGTCCTCCCAAAGGGTACCCTTGCAACCCTCGACGACAAGCTCAGGTGATGCCTCCTCCTTCTCCTTGTTATGATTCCTACTAAGAATTATATATATATATTGTCCTATTAATCTAATCGCTAACTTTTCAGAGTCACTGGTAATCTTTTCGTCCTCCCTTTCACTCTCATTTGGTATCTATTCTGGAAGCATAAGTGATAATTCATTAACTTTCTAAGCCGGTCGTGTTGGAACTATGGTGTAGGTTTCGTTAGTCTAATCTTCCCGTTTTAGGTCCCTAAGCACCTTTTATTTATATTGAAACGCGATGAAGCTTGATTTCGTCAACCTGCTGGATGGGGGGAGATATTTGCACTTATCCATAAAAATATGGACGTTTCAAATATACGCTGTCCTTCATATAGTCAGTACTGGTACACCGTGAACTAAAAACCGTAGGGTGGATCCTTGTGTACTGGTGTACTAACTGTAACAACATCCAGTCTTTGTGTCGCCGTCCGGATGTAACAACAGCTATCAGGAACATGGCATGTGTTTTGGCATGAAGATCCAGGTTCTATCTACAGGATTTTCAGTTCACTGGTTATAGGGGTAGATTTAAGACGTCCATTTTTATAAATTTAAGAAATAAAGCTCAACCAATTCAAAAATATTTTTTTTATGATCTTACTTGAAAGGGATAATTCTTGAACAGATTTGAGGCATCCTGGAAAATGTTTAGTGAATGGGGTAATGTGATGACATTGACTAGAATACATTTTAGAAAATTAATCCAAGTCTACATTATCTTGTTGTATAGTTTTCTAGTTTAGAATATAATAATAGCTACATAAAAGGTTTACATACCAACTAATTCCATGAGCTTAATAATTCCTGTTCACTGTTTGCTGAGATGGAAAACGTGGAAGCCTTACAGACAGTCCCTAAATTGCTTATTTCAATCATTTGGTTATCAAATATTTTGATTTCAAATATATTTCATACTTGTCGCTGATACTAACATTTGACCTGGGTGTCTCTGTATAGAATGCCCTACACGGAGGCGGTCATACACGAGACCCTACGCAAGTCGTCACTAGCAGCTACAGGGGTCCAGCATGTAGCTACCAGAGACACTCAGCTGGGTGGCTACTACATCCCTAAGGTTGGTGAAAGGCTCTTCACTGTTATATTCCTCCTTTATAAATATTGCCATGAAATATCGCCAACTAGAGTAGTTTTCATCCACCGAAGCAATTGTTTACCTTTCTATAGTTATACAGTTATATTATTTGCGATTTTTTCATGGTTTAATATTATGATGTTTACTTTTAATTGTTACGTTATTTACCTACAGGGCACTGTTGTTATTGGAGCACAAGAGACTATACATCACGACCCTCGGTACTGGAACCGACCAGATGAGTTCCTGCCGGAGCGGTGGCTCGACCAACAGGGCAAGTTTACCCCCAAAAAGGAAGGTTTTCTACCCTTCGGTGTGGGTAAGTTAAGGAAGGCTGGTGCTATGAAGACTTCCCCCACACATTAGAGCTATTTGCTCTAACTAAGATTTATCACTGTGTGAGTCACTACCGCTGTGACCCGTAAATGTTCCGTTGTTTATGTTCTCCACACTGGCTGACACCCATGCATTGTGTTTTATGATTTGTGTAATGAAACAAAATATCCTTCATGTTATGCATATACGATAATGAGTATAATTTAACGTTTTTTTTATTGATCAAGGTGAACAGCAACCAACACTTCAGTGAAATAAGGAATCTCCTGTGAACTTTTTATGAGTGAGGTCAGAGATGATCTTCATTATCATGTGAGGAAACTTTGAAGATAAATTACATTGTTCTCTTAAGGTGTTTACATTGTTAGGACTATATCTGGAATATTTTAATGTCGTTAAGTACACACACACACACACACTACTACTACTACTACTACTTTGCTGTCACTCGGAATCGAGTCTGACGATCATCCAGCAATGAGAAAATAATATGAGTTATTAAGGATGTCACCTTCGTTGTTGAGTTTTGAGGTGACTAAAAAGGCCCATACGGGACTGGCAGGGTCGTTCACAGATTTTGCACATGTGAATGGCTACATCGTGGTGTGGGACGGGCGGCGGCAGCGTCTTTCCGGCGTTGGCACTTGTCTGCCTCTGTCTGCAGTCGGGTTACTTCGAAAATTTGGACACCTTCTTGTTTGGTGCTCCTCCAAGCGTTTCGGTGTAGAGCAATCGTCTTCCAGGTGAGTGGGTCGATTTGGCACTTTTTCAGGTTTGTCTTAAGACTATCCTTATACCTCTTCAGTTGCCTGCCAGCGTTTCGTTTACTATTCGTTAGGTGACTGTAAAGTAGCTGTTTTGGCAGTCTACTGTCGTCCATGCAGGTAATATAGCCAGTCCAGTGTAGTTGTTCATGAATAATGGTAGCCTCGATCTCCTACAATTAGTGTCAGTGAGAATATTGTTGTTTGTTCTCTTGTCTTGCCAGCGAACTCAGAGGATGGAGCGTAGGCTACATTGGTGAAAGTTTTCAAGTGCCTTGAGGTGCCTCCTGTACGTGACCCATGTCTCACTGCCATATAGCAGGGTGGGGAGGACCGCTGCTCAATATACGTGCAACTTTGTAGATAATTTCAGCTCCCTACAACTGAAGACACGGGTACAGAGTCTGCCAAAGGCTTGAGATGCACATCTGAACCGATGTTGAATCTCTTCGCCGATATCCGCGGTATTGGACAGGTGGGAGTCGAGATATTGAAAGTGGGTAACATTTGAGAGAGTAGTACAGTTGAGCTGGATGAATGGTGGGGTGTGGTTGAACCAGGGGTAGGCTGAAACACAATCTGAGTCTTGCGTACATTCACCTCAAGGCCGAAGTGTGCATGAGCACCCACAAAGGTGTTCAGGATCTCCTGTACGTCGCCTTCAGTGTGAGTGACAAGGGTGAGGTCGTCTGCATACTGAAGTTCAGTAATGGAAGCTGCTGACACCTTTGTTCCTGCCTGGAGTCGTCTTATGTTGAAAAGATCCTTCATCCAGTACTCGATGTCCACCCCGCCGCCTAAATTGGCAGTACACATCCTTGCTTTCCCCCATTTGGATGGGGAAGAAATCAGACTTGGTGTCATTGTGCAGGAAACTGCCGTTCATGCCATCGTGGAGTTGCCTCACGATGGCGATGAATTTTGGTGGGCAGATAAAACGGGTGAAGGTCCGCCAGAGGGTTTCCCTGTTCACCGAGTCGAAGGTATTGGTTAGGTCGATGAAGGCCAAGTACAGGTCACGACGCTGTTCTTTGAACTTTTCTTGTACCTGATGGGCAGCAAAGATCATGTCAGTGGTACCTCGTGATGGTCTATAGCCATGTTGAGATTCTGGGAGGGAGTTTTCCACCTCAGGAAGAATTCTGTTTTGGAGGACTCAGAAGATAATCCTACTAGGTACGGGCAGCAGCGAGATCTCACGGTAGTTGCCACAGTCTGACCAGTCTCCCCATTTCTTATAAATATTGATGATGGAGGCGTCTTTACGAGCTTGTGGGATTTCCTCATTTTCCTATATATTCTCCAGGAGAGAGTGGAGACAGCTAGCAAGCAGAGGTCCCCCTGCCTTATACACCTCGGCTGGGACTCCATGAGGCCCTGAGGCTTTCTTATTTTTCATTTGTTTGATGACAGTAGCTACCTCATCCAGGGATGGAGAATAGCTGAGATGGGTCAGCTCTGGATGCTGAGGGACTGGTGGGTTGTCAAGACATCCACATTGACATTTCGATTGAGCAGCGAATGGTAGTGCTCTTTCCAGTGCTGACGGATGCTTTTTTCATCATTAATTAGGGAGTTACCGTCGGATGAGCGGAGGGGGGCCTGTGCCATGAGTGATTGGCCCATAAAAATTTTTATTGGAATTTAAAAATTCGAGCATCTTGTGTTGATCTACAAGTTTTTGCGTTACACATGTTTTATTTTAAACCGGTTGATCTTTAGTTTGCGAAGTTCGCATTGGGCTGCGGCTTTCTTCTTGAGGAAGTATCCGCTGTGGTCCAAGACTGAGGGTTGTTCCGCCATCAGTTAAAGCAGCACGTTTAATATTGACGAGTACATTGATTTCCGGGTCATTTTCATCAAACCTGTCCTGGTGTATTCTTTTGATCTGGCTCAACAGACTGCACTCCACGAGAAACAAAAACGATGAAGTGTCACAACTACATCATAAAGAAGAAGGGAAATCCAGAATGAAAGTTGATGAAATTGATGTAAAGAACCTCTGTGGCCAAATTAGAAGTTTGCATCGACCTATTGAATGAGAATGAACACATTGATGATGCTTATGGTGTGGGCAAGAACCGGATGGAACAGTGCGAGTAAAAATGGCATGATAGCTTCCATGAGACTCGGCATAAATTAGTCACAACGATGGCATCCGGTCGGAAGCCTATCAAAGTGGCATGGCACATGAACCTGAGCCAGCCTCCATGTTTGATAACAGGGGTATGAGGACAGCTACTTCCAAGACAACCTTGAAGAATAGCCTGAGAGTTGATGTCTCTACCAGGAATGTACTATTGACGCCTCGTCCTTGGATGGATGTTCGGTCATGTGGGTCGCACCATGGCCTACTAGTACAATAGTCCAGGACTCCACAGGTCCCGTGTATCTAGCATTTGATAGGTAAGTTTCAATGGTGGCAATATCACATACATGCTGCTCAGTATATGTTGGTACCCTAATGGTTATATATCTCATAATTCAAATATTTTTGGAACTGCATTTGATTCTTTGTTTACTATAATACTATCCAAATCGATTGAAATGTCAGTATATATCTCTATGTACAGGTATGAAGATGGCGGCATAAAAGAGTCTGTCAGAATCGATCGTGACAAGATTATACTGTACACCCTACATGCTACTGGACGACTGCCCCAAAAGGAAGTGATCCTTATTACACTGTCTAGAACAAGAAGCAGCTGATAGAACTCATCAAGCTGGATCTGATGCGCCACAGTACCACTCTCGGGGGCAGAATTATTGTCATATATGGGAACACAATCCCTGTGGAAAACTCTGGAGGGAACATCACCAGCAGAATAAACATTAGCGTACCACACGATGAGTCTGATAATAGAATTATCCAGCAAATCATTCAAGTAAATGCCAACAGTGCACTGGTGGTTGCCGATGAACCGTATATCTTTGTGTTGCTTTGTCATTTCATCTCTGTTGGCCGTATCAGGAGCCAAGTGAGGATGATTTCACCCATCAAAGATTGTTCCGTGATGGACATCAATGGCAGTGTAAGAACACATCGAGATGTAATGGACAATCTTCTGCCGGCACACGGATTAATTGGCTGCAATATAGTTGCCACATACTTCAGAATAGGTAAGGGTACAGTTTTGAAAGTACTCATGCCTCGGGCACATAACCCTGATGAATTTGGAAATACTGACAATTCCCTACCACATATTCTCCCACAACCCACAGCATTTGTACTATTATGCTACAGCCAGCCCAGATGTCAAACAATGAACAGAAGCCAGACAGAAAACATGGTCCAGTAAAGTATCTCTTTCCATTGGTGCTGATTATAAATTGCCATCCTTACCTTCAACCTCAGAAGCGTTCAGGGAGACTGTAGCAAGAGCACATCTACAAGTTACAATCTGTAGACATGCAGCAGGTGCCAACAACCACCTATGAATCCTGTCAGGTAGGGCTGGCAGAGAGAAGGCTCGACACTAATCCTTGTGACGTTACCACCAGATGCTCCTCAGGGACCATATGAATTACTCAGACTGATAAGGTGCACATGTGACAGTGAGTTAGCCAGTAATACAAAACGTCGTGGGTGTAAAAGCGCCAACATGATGGCATGCACCGACCTCTGCGCTTGCCAGTGAAAGCGAGGTAGCAGTACAACGAGATGATGTTGGAGCTCTCCAAATGCAGGATGGTGATAAAAATGAGGCTGATGATGGTGATGATGGTAATGATGATGATGATTGAATTACATGCATAGAAGATACTGAAACCTACACTCTCCAACAAAAGTTCTGTCGCCTCACTTTCGTCTTCATGAACCCTGTGAGGTCTCTGAATCTCTGGGGTCATAAAGAGACAGTTGAGGCGACTGGACTGTTATTGGTGAGTGTACACACAGTATAAAAAGTATCGTACGGATTATATGCGAAACAATATGACACCAACGACGAGGGATTGGAATATACGTGTTGGTCCTGTATTATGGTGGTAGCCTTACTTGCCTGAGGATGTCCTCACATATCTGTTGCGAACGACATATCCTGCCGTTTATATAGTTGATGGTAAAACTGAATATGAACACATCAGGTGATGTATGGATCATTGCGGAAGTCAGCAGCCCCCCCCCCCCCTACGCGATACTATTTTACTGTGTGTCCAGTCAGCAAAATATTATTCTGCGAGACTGACACCATGTATTGGTAAGGTTGGTATTTCTGATTGTATGATTCATTGTAAAACTAATGTGCTGTTATTCCTGATATCATGTGTAATAACCACAGAGAAGTTATCAGGAATACATATAAAACCCATAGCACGTAAACCCGATAATGTCATAGCATTATATACTATACCGTAGTACTATGTTTAGTCACCCACATACGTTAGGAATGGCAGGCACTCTAGAAACTGAGGTGCTGTAAAGGAATTTCGCATACTATGAGATACAACGAAATTGTGTAAATACTCATGATTATAACCACTATCTGAGAAAGTGATGATAAGTGGCGTAATACAAGATCTCGACCAGAAAAAAAAATACGAAACATTTATAACGTAGGAAAGTTATATAATATTACACGTAGGTAACTGAGCTACCGGAAAAATGTGAGTTAAGAAACGAGCTGTATCTCTTTATTATGTCAAAATATATGATAAGAATAGGGTTGACCGGAGGTAACTGGTAGTAAAATTCACAAACCAAAAACATTGTCAGTGTTATTTAACACAGTGTAGCAAAGAATTTCGCCAAAGGAAGTGTGATCGTTTAAAAGAATGTAATGTATGTTAGAAACGGAGCAGTTTCGATCTGCAAAGGGCAGACCAGCAGAGCAAACAACAGGAGTTGTAATAGCAATTGCTTTTGATATTAATTCGATTATTTTATGAATATACAGTAATTATATGATGTTAATTGCTCTATTCGCATCTTGTAACACATTGTGCACGCAGACACACTGAAACACCTAACGGTAAATACTATCTACAGAGTAACTGGCAACTCAGGAAGCCAGGGCTAACAACATCCGCCTTGACTCATGAGTGTTTTCAAAATTCTTGGTCCGGTGTGCCATACTGTAGGGACCCGTAAAGGTGAAGAATAATATTTTGCTGACTGTACATGCATACACCATGTTATTATTGATAAGTAGCCTACAGTATTATCGAAATAATGAAGTAGTTCTTTGATCACAACTGGTGCAGAATCAGCATTATAATAGGAATAATGTTGTGATTATTATATGGAAGATGTTTTATCATACTGGAAATACTACCTAGTCATTAATTATGACATAATATATAATGTGGAATAAGAAACTAATCATATAACCGGTACATTATCTCATTAAGTATTATAATCAATATTGTCAAGCTGAAATAACCAACAGTATCAGAGAAATACGACAAATGAGCTTCCTTAAAGGGGTGATGGCAGCCATTTGAATTATTAAAATTGTCAATTGGTGAGAACTCCACACCCACTTGGAACTGACCCTATGGAATAATAACGCAAAGAGAGAAAAAAAAACAATTATATCAAACAATTTGAGGTTCAGGTAAAATTTCCACTTTCTTCTTTTTCACTTTCCATCCTTGATCATCTCTTTGTTCTTCGTTATCGTGTTTACTGAGTGTTTTAAATACAAAAATGACAATTGTTTCAACACAGTGGCTGCAAATATGAAAAAAATTATAACTTCAGTTATTATATGCTTCTAAATAATAAAGAATCCAGTCTTGCTAGTAGTACAATTCTTCTAGCTCACCTCCCCCACTAGAACCTCAAACTCCTCTCACACCGGCCCCCGATCCGCTACTTCACGTCACCGGCGAATGCTTCGGATACGGCTTCATATTCCCGTGGTTCACAACTCTCAGAGACGAGGATTGACAACGTTGATTGTAGCAGGTAGAATGTGGGACGCTGTACATTTAAATTTATAAATCAGGAGGGCATTTCAGGTAAGATAGAAAATGTATGTCACTCTTTAAGAGAGAGAAAACTGGTCTCTAGTGGGTAAGTCAAGAATTTCACACATTTTTATGGACGAGGAGCATAATATGAATGAGGGTGGGCGTTAAAATATTATAGGTGCAACTGTGATTATTACATTAATTATTTATATAAATCCTTCTACCGATACTGTTATATGCTTAAATACCTTTGTTGTAGAATTTTGATAACATAACGTCAACAAGAATTGTACTGTCCCCTTCACTAGTGCGTTTACAAGGGTTCTTCATATAAACATTCTAGAAATCATTATTTTCTAAGAATTTTGTTTTAATATTCTTTTACTTTGATTTAATAGTATGTTTACTAAAGCGAGTTTCCTTCTGTCGAATGTAAACAAATACAGAGCTGCCACACTACACAAAACCTGACGAGCCACTGTAAATGCACTAATGAAGGGGAATGTACAGTCGGGGTCAAAAGTTCCTCCAGCCAAAAATGAAGCAGCATCGACGCCAAATGAGATGAAACAGTCAGGGTAAGTCAGCTCGGAGACACAGACCGGTGACTCAGTTTCACCTTGGGGAGCGAACTGTTGTCCCCGACTGTACATACCCGAGAGAAGGTGAGTTCAAGGGAGTGGGAGTTGAGGGCACCAGTTAGGAGTGTAGCACGTTCACCTCTCAGAAGTATTGTGCACTAACTCAAGAGTAATTAATGGCTGGGTTAGATGGCTGTACAGGTGAATCATGGGTTTGCTACCAGACCCAAGACCATACAGACAAATGGAAAGGCGATTCAGCTAATTCTATAAATTTATAGACCAATAATACTAATAAGAATTATTCATGTTGTTTATAGACATAACAATTTCTGCCAGGTAAACGCTCTTGTCTGGGCGAGGCTCTGGCGCGCATGGAGTTGTTCATCATTTCCACTACTGTGTTCCAGAGCCTTACCTTCTCTCAACCACCTGGCAAGAGGATTGATCTTCATTATAACCCAAAACTTTTCTTGACCCACCATCCCAAGATCCAGGATGTCCTGATCACCGTTCGCCCAGGATTCTGAAGAATATAAATACTATACGCACATACAGTAGATAGTGGTTTTTTTTTGTAAGTTATAACAGCATTGCAAGTCCATTATTCCACTACATATTTAAAAAAAATCCGGCTTTGGGAACAAATTTTCCGAGGTCTAAAATCGAGAGTATATTCTGAAAATGTCTTGAATAATGACGAAAGCTCAAGTATTTTGGGGAGGGACCAGACCTGACTCAATGTCAGGTGGAGGTAGGGTTGGGGATTAGTGGTCTCATATTATTGACTTTCTGATGGCATGTCAGGTGTCATGGGTTGAGTTAGGCTTACCCATGCAACCAACTCCAAGGTTTGTTTTACTAGAGATAAGAAACCCGGCGAGCCATGACTGCGACATATTTTTTTCCATAAGTGGTATGTTAGCCAGCCTATAGGGGGAGGCCAGTGAGACAGTGTTGTACTATTCATCGCCTCACACCCCAAAACCTCATTTTAAGTAGTATCCCTTAGGCCATGGGTTAGTTAAGACGTCGTCCCCATCCTCTCCCTCCTGAAGGGTACGGGACACCACACAAAGTCCTCCACCGCCACCCTGTCCTGTGGACCGTCGTCGACACGAGATTCAGTGTGTTAACCTAGGTTTGTTATCCCGTGGAAATATCATGTGTGGATGCCTGGTTGCGACAAGAGCAATCCAGGCTGGCCTATCAAACCTACAGTAAATGGTTTATCAATTCACGCTTACAGAGTTCTCCTGCATGACACCCGTCTACAGTGACCATGATCGACACGAAATTAAGTGTGTTAACCTAGGTATGTTATCCTCGTGGAAATATCACGCGTGAAAGACTGGTTGCGATAAAAATATTCCAGGCTGGCCTATTGCACCTAAGTGGTTAATTCAAGTCATGCTTACCAGTTCTCCTTGCCGCGACAATCGTCTACAGTGACTGTCAGTGACGCGAGACTATGTGTGGTAACCCTAGAGTACTTTTTTGTTATTCCCCGTGAAAGAAGTTCTTGTGCTGAAGCCTGGTTGCAACAAGAGCAATCCAGGCTGGCAGTAAATGTATCACTTGAAGAATTAGGGCTCTATTAAGTCATATCCATAGTACAGTAATCACATGTGTTCCCAAGTTGAAAATTCCCTCTTTTAGAAGATTAATTGTATTACAGCGTGAATGTGAGTGACTCATATATCCATACAAATTGTAAATCATTGTATTGGAGCTTGACAAATAAATGTAAGTGCAATTATCTGCCCGTATCTGTGATCCTATCTTATTATTACGAAAGGTAATGACTGATTGGTTATGTCAAAGTATAGCCAATAACTTAGATGGATGTTGGAAATTAATGGAACTCATTAAATCATCATTTATCAAGTATAAATCATGGAATGTCGGGTGGTGGAGTGAATTTCTACGTAGATACACCATAATCTCCTGTAAATAACCAGTGTGAAGGTATCAGACTCTACGGTAAGAAATATAAGAAACACAATATATTATAATCTTTATATAATATTATCCACACTTACACCACCACGATATAAAAACCATGACATCAGGTCACTCTTTCTTGGGAAGGGGATTAGTAGGTCTCATGACCTGAAGATGTCTTGAATAAGCACGAACCCTAAAGTATTTTAGAGAGATTGTGATATGTATAAGTTTAAATGAGCAAATTTTATCCCCTCAACATTACATTACATAACATTTTAAAATATGGAGTGAGAAAGCAGAAAGGTGTGGATGATTAGAAAGATGAAGTGGAAAGGAGTGGTAACATACACCAGTGTTCCCAAGCGATAAGCTTCTCAACAGCTGATTTTTTAATTCGCCTCCATGCAGTCATACAACAAGACCCTCACTGGATGCTTGTTGCCTTAATTCCCGCGTGTGCGTGCGTGTGTGTGTTTTAACTTGTCAAGTACATTGTAGATTTGAATAAGTTGATGAAGAGTTCGTTCAGGAGTCAGGTGGTGAGGTGATATGCCAAGATAGTAGACACTTACACAGCACACACATTAACAGCACTACCAAACCATTGTCTTATAACATTTTACATTATAATTTCTATTTTAAAATTAAATGATACATGGTGACTCAAAAGGGCTACTTTTGCACTTCGACAACTGATTAATGAATAAACCAGGGCATATGGAGACTCTTTATACACTAGTGATGACACAAAGCTTTGAAACTGCAACCACATAAATTATCACAACCTGTACTTGAAGGTACTATACTAAGTTAATTACTAAAATTATTATGTAAGGTGCAAATTAATGGATGATTATACTCAAATTAATCTCTATCATACAGGAATTTCAGCAATGCAAGTTATATTCTCCTAAGTCAAATCAGTTACATTTTATAAGCAAAACAATAAAACCCCTCTGCCTTTATCCTTAAGTACTGTATGGGTTAATCTCCCCCCCTCCCTCCCCTCCTTCCAGCCGGAGGTATAAGGGTCATATGGTGGGTAAAAGTGACAGCGAAGCCCCCAACCCAAACGACTAATTCACCATATGTAATAATAATAATAATAATAATTAATTAACGGTTTATTGAAAAAGTTCTGCAGCCCGAAGGCTGAAAATATACATTGGACATAAATGATTTATTACATACATTGGTGGTTTAACAAAAGCCTTCATTAGAGAAAGGTAAAGGAACATAGTGAACATACAGATTAATGTAGGTGTTGGGCAGCAAACACGTAGTGTAGTAACTCACTCCCAGATGGTGTTAAAAGGGACCTCACGTGGTGTAGTAGTTCCCTTTGTCGTGATCCCAATATCCTTTATACCTGGGGAGTGAAACCTACCCCAAGTTATCATCAAATAAAGGAACAAACAGGGAACACGGCAATAATTATCCCCACAAAAACCGACTCAACTGAATGTACTTGAATTAATAAGAATAAGTTGGAGTAAGTGAGTCACAAATGGGAAGATAATTAAATAATTCAATTTATGTTCTTAAAGGAGTACTGTCTAGCAACCATGGAATTTAAGGGAATAAGTGATTGTATAGTAAAATAAGAGTGTTGCCGGAAGGGTGAAAATATATCGTTAAGGAGTTAAATCAATGAATACTACTTAACATTAACTATATTAAACACAGACATCCCAATATATACACAGCAATCGCAACCAACTGGTTAATTCCTACCAAATAGGAGATTCCTTAACACCAGGATTCCTTCCTAGGCCTAAGTTACCGTGCCACTAATTACCAGATACCACTAGGGTATTGTAGATGACTGAACAAAGCACGTCTGTACTGGGTTGGTGTGGACACGTCCTACCTATAGCCTATACCAACGGTTACTGGAGAGAGTCTCTGACCAGCATTTAAGTGAGGAGCGTCTGAGATCACGTGACTCAGGACAGTTGCCAAATAGTCTTATAACTAATTAATACTACTCTTGGTTTGACTTAACAGAGTAACACAAATGATGCATATTAATGACATACATAGATAAACAATTAACCTAAGTAACCAAGAACAACAATAAGATAATAGTAAAAATAACAAGTTATTAATAGCTTGTGTGGAGTGGAGGCGTAAACAGATACCACACGACATGCTTGTTGCTGTGGGGTTATGGGCACATGACACCTCCCCCAAAAAAGTGAGCTTACAACTAACTGGAAGCGAAAATGGATATACAGCTACAGGGTGAAAGTAATAGCTAACACAATCAATTTAAATCAATATGAAGCAAAATAATTCATAATATAAACACAAGGTACTCAATGACAATAAAACAACGAAATAATTTACACACAGACATAGTTTCTAGATAATCAGACTCGAGAAAGTGCATCAGCCAACACGTTCTCTTTTCCGCGGATATGGGAAATGTTCAAGTTATAGGGCTGAAGTGAAAGAGCCCACCTCAAAAGTCTTTGGTTGGTATGTTTCATCCTGTCAACAAAAGTAAGTGGGTTATGATTAGTGAACACCTGAACGGGATCAGCAGTGCTGCCAACATGTACTATGAAGTTTTCTAGTGCCATGATCAGTGATAAAGCCTCCTTTTCAATGGTGGCATAGTTTTTTTTATATTTGTTAAATTTTCTAGAAAAATAACACAGTGGATGAAGCACTTGATCACTCTCACCCTCTTGCAGAAGCACAGCACCGGCGCCAGTTTCACTGGTGTCGACTTGGAGAGTAAACTGTTTCTGGAGGTCAGGGGCACGTTGTACAGGAGCATTTGCCAGCAGGGATTTTATATTCTCAAAAGATTCCTGGCAAGCCATAGACCACTTGAAGGTTTTCTTGCCACTCAGCAGGTCACTCATGGGAGAGACAACGGAGCAGAAGTTTGGGCAAAAACGGCGGTAGTACCCCGCCATACCCAGCAACCTCATCACACTCTTCTTATCGCCTGGCACTGGATACTGTTGAATTGCCTCAATTTTGGCTGCTATAGGCTGGACTTCCCCTTGTCCGACCACGTGCCCCAAGAAAGTGACGTGGGCATGGCCGAACTCATTTTTGACGAGGTTCACCGTCTGCTTGCTTGCAGCCAGTATGGAGAAAAGGGCTTGTAGACGACTCATGTGATCTTCCCAGGAACTGCTGAAGACGATGAGGTCGTCTAGGTAACAGCAGACACCTTCCAGACCAGATGTGATGTAATTCATGAGGCGTTGAAAGGTTGCAGGGGCGTTCCGCATACCAAAAGGAAGGACTGTGAATTGGTACAACCCCTCAGGAGTGACAAAAGCAGAGATGGCCCTAGAGAGTTCAGTCAGTCTTATCTGGTAGTAGCCCTGGAGGAGATCCAACTTGGTCACGTACATTGCTTGTCCAAGATCGTCGATCACGTCGTCGATGCGTGGCAAGGGATAACCGTCTGGTTCAGTGACAGCATTCACCTTGCAATAATCCACACACAGCCGCATCGACCCTTTCGGCTTTGGAACTAGAACAACAGGGATGCCCATGGACTGATGCTGGGCTCCACGAGGCCCAGCTCTTGAAGACGCTGCACCTCGGCTAGCACACTCTCCCGCTTGATGGCATTAAGACGGTAGGGATGCTGTCGGATTGGCTTGGATCCCCTGGTCTCAATGTCATGCTCCAACACCGAACAGGAGTGTGGGTGATCACCAACTATAATAAGATACTCCTGTAATAGAGATTTTATATTATTGGCTTGGTCACTAGAGAGATGCACAACTTAACACTGGGGTCCTCCAAGATAGTCGAGTTTTCCATTTTTACACTAGACCCATTCATTATTTCAGAAATACACTGGTCTTTATCATCCTTATACTCTGGCACAATGATACAAGTTGGCAAGGATTGATCAACACAAGCAACTGCTTTTCCCAGGGTTTCGTCACGAACATGATGACTTTAAACGATTGACATGGATAAGGCGTTTTTTCTTACGCCGTTCAGGG